GGCGGCCATTTCTGACTCTGATTTTAAACAAAAAACAAAATAACAAACAATTTAAATTCGGCCTAGAGCTTCCCCAAAATTTGTTTAACACATTTTAACACAGATTGACAATTTCCACATAGGCATAGGCATTTCGATTTTTGTATATACGTACAGTGTATATTGCTTAGTCTTACAAATATTGTAGAAAAACTTCATAAACTACCCTATTCAGTCCTTATGTAATTACAATTGCTTTTTTTACCTACTCTGTAAAAGCTTTATTTCGAATATTGAATTTCCGAATATTACTATTTATTTTCGAAAACATGAATTATTCGGCTTTAATATTCTATTTATTATCGAGATGTTTATACATCTTTTTATGCGCTTGTTCCTCAGCACGTCAAAATGTCTATTCGTTCATCAACCAGCATGTCCGCTCATCCTTCTCTATTCCATTAAAATCTCAGAAATATAAAACATACTATTGATGACCCTAAGAGTGCAACTAAAAACTACAAATCAAAGCGGAGAGAGACCTAAATTCGCCGACATTGCGTGTGGCTTTTTCGACATAAATATGTACTGTGTTCATATTTATTGTGGGAAGTAATCTTTTGCAATTATTATTCATAGAAAAAACCAATCGCTGTTTCTCAATTTTGAACTCAGTTACAAATAAAATATTGTTCCTCTTATTTTATTTATTTTCGAAACTGTTAAAATAACACTTGATGGTTTATTTATTGCTTTTGTATGTTTGTTATAATATATATATATACATATAAAACTATATACTAATATATATATGTACATATATTATTTTGATACAATTGCATTGATCAGTTCCGAAAACAGTGATACTTTGGGAGTTTTTGTAGAATCGTCGGATTTGTGCCTGCATTGGCGATATTTGTGCTATTGTTTTGTTATTTTTTTTTTCTTTTTTTATTTTTTGTGTTTTTTTTTTTTTTTATAAAAATAAATGTAATTTTAAGTTCGATTTTGTAGCGTTTTGTCGCGCATGTACAAAGCTCAAGAATTTGTGTGGTTGAATTTAAAAATGTGTACGCCTACAATTCCCTAATTCTTACGAAAGTAATAAATCAAACCGACAGCCATGCCACAAAATAGTATGGGGTAGCTCAGCTTGCGGATGCGATTTCCGCAGATAATCTGCAGCAGCGATTGAAAGATGCTCAACCGCTTTCGATGCCACTCAGGCTCGTCATCAGTCGTGATTCTATCCAGGTTGACTAGTATATCTCTGCCAGCATTTAGGTCGGATAGACAATGGACCTCATGGGGCTGTGGCAGAGCACCCACCTCTCCAGTGTACTGATCGTTGTCGACTTGGAGTAGCTTGTGCAGCAGCTCCATGTCATGTTCTGCCTCAAGCAGTTCCTCCACTCGCACGTGCTTTCGCTCGCGTGTGCCAGCCCTGGGAGATGGATTGCTCGTCTCTCTGCCATCCAGGGGCTGACACAGATCGATGAAATCCGTTTGGTGATTTGCTGGCTCTGGGATCAGCTGCAGATTTAGCTCTAGCTCAAACTCAAGCTCCTGAATAGATTTCGCTTCTTCTGACTGTTGCTGTCCTTGCTGCGGCTGCAACAGCTGCTCTTGTTGCAGTTGCTGCTCCTGGTCTTGCTGCTCCTCATCCTGCTGTTGTTCCTGCTGATCCATTGTTTGTTGGATCAGCGTCTTTTCAATCTCCTTTTGGATTTCGTTCTCAATGTGTAAATTCAATTGGTTCTCCAGCTCAAGCGTGATCTGTTCTTCGAGTATCTCAGCGTGCAATGCGACATCTGCCTCCATTTCGGCCACGGCGCGTTGCAGCACCCTCAACGTCTGCTGTTCGGCGGCTTCCAGTTCATCCAGCCTTTCACTGGTCGCAATCGTCTCCGAGCTGCGCTGTTCGCATGGCGTGGAGTTGCTAGATTGGGTTAGAATTTCAGAACTGGAATCATCGTCGTCGACAGTTGTTGAGCAATCCAATTGGACGCCAGAATCCTCAGTTGTGTTCACCAGTGTGCTGGTGCTGCTGAAACTATCGTTCATCTCACTCTTCATCTGCAGCGTCTTCATCAGAGAGGTGTACTTGCGTGTGCTTGTTTGGACGTAGCAACCGTTCTCATCCAAGCGTATGGGTCCCGGAATCCTCGTTGACCTATGGACAGTTCCGCTTTTAGTAATTCGTTCTTCGAACTTATTAACTGATTCGGCTTGCGCTGGGTCCTCAATTTTATTCTCATCCGATGGAGTGGCTTGCACATCGCAATTGGCCATGATAACTAAATATATGGCCGAACAATTCCCATGTCTGCTTAATTAGCCTTATTACAATTTTTCACGAATCACTTACCCTGAACTATTTGTTGCAAGACTGACAGAATTTCAGACTGTTTGGATAGCAAGACTATTTTTTTTTATTGATATTTAGTCGAAAATTATAGTTGTTAAAATGTTTAAAATTTAGGCCTGCACAGCTGATATGTTGAGCTGGAATAAAATGTCAAATTGACACAAGCTCAACGATATACAATGGCAATATGGCTGTCAAGGGTTGCTCAGCGTCTTGATACTTCATTGTGCGCTGTAAGACAGAGTCATCTAAGCTAATGTCATTAGGTTTACTACAAAAATTAAAAACATGCAACGATATGAATAAAATTAAGCAATAACCTCCAGTTAAGTATCATTTAATGTAAATTGAGCATAGTCCTTCAAAAATATTCAATAAGGGTATTTCATTAGATATGTATTATTAAAATATTTTTGTTAGATTTTCTTACTTCATACTAATATACATATTTCTAATTTCAGAATGGGTCTGCTGCCAGGTCGTATATGTCAACCAGTCTAGGAGTTATTTCGACGATATTTAAAGTTCCATCACAAATATTAATATACGTTGTAAATATTTTAAAAATAAAATACATAATATATGGAATAAGAAAAAAATGTAATTTTGACGAGCAATAAATGAAGCATTTGCATAAATGAATAAAACTGGTTTTCTAATTTAACGGGCGAATTTACACAGAAAATAAATATTCAAATTTTAACGTACAAAAAGAAAGAAATGTTGCATAGCATTGCGGGCAGCTGTTGTGGCTGTTGCCC